CAATCTTCCATTCCACCATGAAACGAACTCCGTAGGAAATTTCGGGAAGAGGGCAGGGCCATGGGGCCAGAAAGCAAAGACGTCGTCAACATACCAAAGCCAAATCGAAGGACGAGATAACGTTTTTGTATTGTGGGTTTTCTACATACACATGCACGCACACACGCACACGCACACACACACACATTTATATTTATCTATCTGTATATATGTATGTATGTATGTATGTATGTATGTATGTATGTATGTATGTATGTATGTATGTATGTATGTATATGTACGTATGCACAAATATATGTGGGAAGAGGGCAGGGCCATGGGGCCAGAAAGCAAAGACGTCGTCAACATACCAAAGCCAAATCGAAGGACGAGATAACGTTTTTGTATTGTGGGTTTTCTACATACACATGCACGCACACACGCACACGCACACACACACACATTTATATTTATCTATCTGTATAGAGAGATAGATAAGTAGATTAACAGATAGATATAGAGATACATACATACATGCATAGATAAATAGGTAGATAAATATATGGATAGATAGAGGGCTAGATTTATGTAAATAAAACCTTTCTGAAAAAATAATTGCATATCCCAATTGTTTTCCAACACAATTCTGCTTTTTTAACTGACGAAAATCAGGTTTCAGATTCCCCAACTGACCTACTACAATTCTATTTGCGCTTCTTAAAATGTAGGAATAATGAAGTAAACTTTGGCTTCCACTTAACATATGCGAATTTCAAGGTTTGTTGAGGGTTTCATATTCATTTATCTGTTTTTGTTTAACAACCGTTTTGAAATTACCATTGATTTCCACATATATAATCTTAATATTATGCAGTATCAATAGTATTGTTTCTTTATATCTTTGTAGTACTATGGATTTTTTCACTTCACTTTATTATCAATGACATGTGAAATTTCAGTTTTCAAGTTACTTAAATCTGCATAAAGATAATTTGAAAAAAAAAAAAATGAAGTAAGAAATGCTCAAGGTCACACAAGAAAATAGTTGCTGTAATATTTTAGTGTAATGCTGCCGGGTGATCACATTGCCCACTCTAGTTTTCTTTTGTGTTATGTAAATGGCTTTATAAATGCTCAGTCACACAAATTCTAATTAGTAAGCTTACGTGACCTCACTTGCTTTTGCCTTTCCTTGAATTTTCAGAATTTATTTCTAGTGCTACTAATATCTGCATTATTTGTATTATATAGCATTATGGTTATTAATGTTATTATATATTAATAGTGATGAAAAAAAAACGAATCTTTCTAAAAATCAAACAAGTAGGACTAGTAATGGACTCTTTAGTAATTGGGAGGCTATTTTTGTGTAAAGATACTTTTGTGGGTTAAATGTTCTTAATAAATTCACCTGTCACATAAGTTTTGTTATGGTACTCCTCCCCCACCACTAAAATTATGCAACATGTCATGAAAATCTAAAATATCTCGTCTATAAAATCTCTTTCAGCATCTAATTAACATAGCTCTTCAATAATGATCTTCATTACTATAACTTGCACTATTTATGTATATGTATATGTATATATGTATATATGTATATATGAATGAATGAATGAATGAATGAATGAATGAATGAATGAATGAATGAATGAATGAATGAATGAATGAATGAATGAATCTGCCTAAAGATAATTATGTATGTATGTATGTATGTATGTATGTATGTATGTATGTATGTATGTATGTATGTATGTATGTATGTATGTATGTATGTATGTATGTATGTATGTATATGTATATGTATATGTATATGTGTGTGTGTGTATATATATACATGTGTGTATATATATATATATATATATATATATATATATATATATATATATATATATATATATATATATATATATATATATATATATATATATATAACTTACCATCAACTCGCATCAGGTTTCAATCAAAGAAGAACAAAAAATACACAAGAATTTTTTTTTATTTATCAAATTAGAGAAATAGAATGTCATTGTGGACTATACATTGTTCAGGAATTCATCACGACAACTAATTACTGCTGTTAATACGAAGATGCAGCTCAAGATAATACCCCATTCAAACTGGTTTCAAACTCTATTGCAAAATACTGTTGGAATGCTATGGCACCTATCAGTGTACAGTTATAATTCCTCTGTATAAGCCTATTCACCTTTCCCATATTTGTAAAAGAAAAGAAGAAAGATATAAAATGAAAATCAGAATACTGTCAATTCCATTCTTATCCTTAATACTGGCAAGATTTTCTGGTAAAAAAAAAAAAAAAATAATGAAAATGATAGTAATAATAATAATAATATTAGAAATCTAAAATATAATGACAACATTTAATAAGTAAATAAGAAATAACTAGAAAAAACAACTGAATTCTGTCTGTAATCAAAAGTGAATTTTACATCCAGTATAAAATAATGGAAAAGGTTAGGTGAATATATCTATACAATGTATGTACAAATTCTAAATTAATATCATATTTACATTATTGATCCTGTGTTGTGTGTCCTAAAACTAGGCATTCTTATAAACTCTCAGCTATCCATGTAGTCAGCAAGATTTACCTCCCGGATATTCTAAACTATTTCAACCAGTTCAATGGAAATTTCAATGCTGCTTGTGTATGTGGGGAAAGCACGTCACTGTTTATACTGGGTGTTTCATTACAGAGTAAAACAAACTAAAAAGGAGTATACCCACTAATAGGTGTGATACATTATGTAATGTACTTTTTGGGATTTAAACTGCTAAACTGTATATAACAAAAACAAAAATGTGAAATCAACTCTCACATGACTTGGCTTCTTGTGAAGGCATCTTGTACATGCATCTATCAATCTTTCTGAAAACTTCTCACTAGAACTCTTAACTCTTGTTGGTGTATCTGTCTCAATGACATATAATATTTATTATTTTTTTAAATAAAATTTATTTTCATATTACAAACTTTGATTGTGCAAGGCATATTGCATTTTTACTGGTTTTCTATTATAAAATATATCACCAATTCTGACAGCTGCCACAGGACTGCAGTATATTCTCTGTTCCTGGTCCCTTTGAGTGCCCAAAAATAATACACCAACAAGGTACCTTGTAAAAGACATGGCCTATACACTTGACTTCCGTAAACAAAAATAAAATAAAATAAAACTACTTTCCTTTAGCTAGAATTCAAATATACATCTGCAACCTTTTTAAGTAATGAGGTCATAATCACTGGACAATATATATTTATTAGGAATGTACTAAAATAAAAGCTAATTCTAACCAGTTGTGGAGCTCACTGAAAGCTGATAATCACAACTTATCTATATTACAAAGGGTGCCTGGCCAGCTACACAAGTTATATAGATAATAGAAAATGTCATAAAGCATCATATGCATCTATGCCGACTTTCATACGGACAAAATATATCATGTATAGTTTACAACACGAGAAATTCTTGGACCTTAAAGTGAACTACAAGGTTTCTCTGTAGGGAGAGTACAACCTCTATCTTTATTAGACATTCTTGAATCCACCAGCACTTGAGCACCACACTTTCTGGCACTTAAACTTAGTGACTAAAGCTTTTATCTGGAATTAAAAAGCATTGTACAAAAAATGAAGTAGTATAATCATGTATCCCTTCCACATGAAGGCAGTCAATTGGAAATAAAGCATGCACCTGCCTATTTTAGAGGCATACAGCTTGGCATTAACATACATAAAGCTATGTGTGATAACTCTACCAATTCCATTCACAAATCTTCTAAGTTTCAAATCTTAAAACCAAATTTGAGAAATTCTATGCAAAATAAGCTTATGGAAATATTTCATCATTTATTTTCATGGAAAATAATTAAGTACACAACAGATTCTTCATCCAGCAAGTACTTCATGTAATTGTGCAATAACTTAGTAGTTATTCAGAATACACAAACTTTTATATTTACATTACAATAGACCTTTTTTCAACAAAAGCACAAAAATTCCTGCACCAAGTAAATAACTTAATAGCACACACAATACATCATTATTCCCAAAGGCAGAAATGAGTGAACAAGGACAGGGAATATTAAAGGGCATAATTATCCTCATAAAAACAAAAACATCTTCAAGCATTATTAATGCTAACATCATCAGAGTATTTCATATAATAACACTTCTATAGTTAATATACAGCAGGACTGTTGGCAGTAATATATTAACAAGACAACAGTTTTCAAAGACCAGTGCTTGATACAAGATAAAAATAACTTCCATAAACAAGTTTTGTTTAAAACCACACAAAATAAAATATGAAGCCAACTATATGGAATGGCTAATATCGTTTTAGACATGACATGACTGTTATTCAGGAATTTACTCAGCTTTTTCATCTTTAGCATAAATTACCATATACTAAATGTAAATCTTTAGTATTTTGCACTTATTCACTCATAAAAAGGCACCATTATTCCAACTCTCTACCATAATAAATAAGTAGTTTTTATTTATTAAACTTGTTATTAAGCAAGGGCAGCACAAAAGCAGAGCTAGACTTCTGAAGCAAATTTTCTTCACAGTTTTACAATGTGAATATGATGAAAGGCAGCACATAACTACTGTACTTATCATTACCACAATGTTTATGTTAAACTTCCTTCCACATACAGACAGAGTGCATAGCAGACACCAAACAATTATCAGTATGTTATAGCTACAGTTATATCATCATGAATAGGCAAAAATGAAAGAGAGTTTCTCAGAAGCACACTGATATTGCAATTAGGACCTTATGGTAATTTTGTACATGAAGAATTACCCTTTTTTTTTTAGTCTACTGAAGGAAACTCTCTGATTTTTTACTTGGCTCTTTAAATTTTTAAAATAATAATTTCTGGGAAAAGATTTTCTCACAGTATCTGCTTGATGACAACATCAAAGAGTATACTATACATTACATCAAACACATATAAAGTACATTGACAATAAATGGTGCAATAGTTTCAGTTAGGATTGCATGTCATTTACATCACTAAAAATTCAGATTGACAGAAGGAAAATTAACATGGGTATAAAGGCCTTGTGTAAATTGCAGTTTCTTTTCTGTTAACTTGAACTTCATACTGCATTTGGAACTACAAAACTTTATCTGAGGATTTAACATATATAATTTGCACAACTTTCTTTTGTACTGTTTAAATTGTGACTTAAAGGCACTTCAATATCTATCTTTGAATTAATCAGTACTCAATCAATTTTCTTCTAAAACCTGTATCCTGTTACCAAAGGCCTGTTCCATCAAAGCAAATACCTCATTAAATGGATGATACATCTATACAATGTATATTCTTGAGGTACATCATCATAAATGCAGCCAGTAACACCTCTAGTTCTCCTTTTGAGTCAATGTATTTAATAAATTAAAAAGAATGTCCCTATGTAGTTTTTGCAAACGTACATTCCCTTGTGGAGTTTCACCAACCAAAACAACTCATGAAGGATTTTGTGGTTGGTAGCAGGAAGTAAACACAAATAAAAAAGAAGATATTAGAAAGAAATAAAAAAGGAGAGAGGAATGCTACAGCATCAGCTCTTTATTTGACAATCACAAACACTGTCAAAATGTACAGAAAGTTCACCATAAAGCCAACTATCCTTAAAAGACAACATCTCTCTCAACTGCTACAAGTTGCTGGTTATTCATACTCTGTTACATAAAAGAATAAAAAGAAAGAGAAAGGAGAAAAAAAAAAAAAAAAAAAAAATCTGACAACATTGAAGATCACTGGAGTCGGGACACCATCAGGTTAACTGTGTTGGAGGTCTTGTTGAGGATAGAAGTTGCTGTGTGCAAGTCCGCTAGTCGCAGGTCAACCCCATCCACCTGCAGCAACTTGTCCCCAACTTTGAGGGCTGAGGATGCTGCCCCTCCTCCTGCGACACTCGTCACATAAATACTCTGGGGAAAGTAGATGAAAACAAATAAATTCTAATGCTTATATAGGCCAAGAAAAATAATAATTACTGGAAATGATTCCTTTTTTAAGAATGAGGTAAAGGAGAAGCAGGAATAAAGGCAGGAAAAAACTGCAGCAAGAAAAATATGGAAACAAAGATGAGGAAGAAATAGAACAAGAGAGGCATATTTCAAGGAAGATACAACTTTTGCAAAACTACAAATGTCAAGAAAGCACAGATGTACCTTATCTTCTGCGTCAGAATCTGACAGCCCAATCGTAAAGCCAAGGCCTGGATTTTTCTCTATCACTACCGGGAACTGTGAAAAAAGTAATAAAAATACATTTTACACATATAAACTAACATTCATAACCATATGAAACACAACCACAAGGCATACTTCAAGACCATGATAACCTCCATTGCACTTAGAATAAATGAAAATGCATGATACTAATGATAAAGGTTCTGCCAATGTCATCCACTATAAATTATAATTATAACAATGATGATACAAGTAATGATGATGGAAATAATAATCAATTCAATAATAACTTACTTTTTCAAGTCACAGATATTAAAGGAAGGTATTTATTTACAAGGATATTTTAAGAATTAAGAAACCCAAAGCCGCCTGGAATATGTGGTGTTCACAGTAAAATGGCTCCACAAGTGCTCAGCCAACAAGGATTAACTCCGTAGACCTTTTGAAGACTCCCCCCCCCCTCACCCATGACTGGAAAAGCCAACGCTCTTCCTGTCATGGCTCATGAATGGTACATTCTACATTTATATATCAATGGAAATGATGCAAGATTCCTTTCCTAAATACCCACTAAGTCGCCCTCTAAGAGCCTTGTGCACTCGAGGGGAGTCATTCCCATCACTCAGGCCTTCGGCTGAAGTTCTCATTGAAGCAAGTTCCCATCAGCCTGGCCCTCAGCCAAATCTTTTCATGACTTGATGGTCACGTCATCCAGATCATGGGGGTTAACATTACTAATAGCAATATAGGGTACAGGAAAATATTATCGAAAATCAAGGAGAAGGGTAAATGGGTGAGATATCCTGTACTATAATTGACTCACTGGTGATTAAGTACTTGTGAAGCCATCAATGTGTAACTATAATAATAATAAATGAAACTCACTGTAGGCATGACATTTATGTATAAGCCATCCCTGTTGCCACTGGGTTAACCCATTCACCACGGATTTATGTTCTGTCCCCTGTAGTTTTTGTTGAATTTTGTTACATACAGATGGCTCCACATGTGCTCAGCCGGCAAGGAATCTATCAGTAGGCCCAGTTACCGACCCTGATTTTCCCATTCATTGAATTGGCCGGAAAATTAATATCATTGCTTTCGATACTGTTATTATTGTTATTGATGTTATGATTATTGAGTTGTCATTAGAATATTTTTGACAATGAAATGATACAAAAAAAACATTTCCTAAAGTGAAGGAAAAGGGTAAACAGGCGAAATAGGTAGTTCTTGATAACTGGCTATTTGGTGATTAAGAACTTGTAGAGCCATCTATGTGTAAATACAATAAATAAACGTGTATCAAAGTGGGCATGGCATCTATTCTTGCCACATGTGGCGAATGGGTTAAGAAAGATAAAGTTTTGAAAACAAAAATTTACATATTTACAAAATTTCATATTTATCTTTGTCAGGCTACCCAAGGTCATGCAATTTATAGATTAAAATAAAGAAAGATTTTTGTTTGTTTGTTTGTTTTCGTTATACCTATTTAAAATATCAATTCATAAATTAAACGACTGTGTGCTTGTGCTGAATGTGTGAAAGATTAATTCAATTTTTAGCTTTTTATGTATTTGTGATTCTCAAATTTTTATGTACATGGACACAAATATATGTGAGTGAGTGAGTGAGTGAGTGAGTGAGTGAGTGAGTGAGTAAGTGAGTGTGTGAGTGTGTGAGTGTGTGTGTGTGTGTCTGTGCGTGCGTGTGTGTGTGCACATGCTTGTGTAAATGGAAAACTTGACAGCATGCTTATATCTGTAAAAAAATATATATATAATAATAATATATTTAAAAAATGCACAAACAGGAACATTAACAGGAATATATGCTGTCAACCATTTTACAAGGCAAATCAAGCAGGTAACTACCATTTACCAAAATATCCGTGCAGTAAACAATACAAAGCATCCATACATAACTCAAAGTACTGCTCCATCAAGCACAAGCATCCAAGGGAACTTTCCAGCAGAACCACCTCATCAAAGTGCAAAAACTTAGGGAGAGTCTCACCATTTTTTAAACATTTCTTTTAGGTGCAATTACCATAAAAAATACAAACATACACCTCTACTATGACTCATTACTTGAACAATAACACTGAATGAAATAACCTGATTTGTCAAAGTAGTAGATATGACTCAGTAAGTTCAGACATAAACAATGTGAAACATATGCAATAGTATGCAAAAAGCATTCTTCCTTAATTCCCTCTTTCCTTTTGCAGGAGTCAAAATGTGTCCGAAATGATCTGTAAAGTACATTTTAAAAAAAGGAAGAAAGCCAGAAATTAAAATAGGAAGGAAGGAAGGAAAAATAAAAAAGAAAGAGCAAAAAAAAAAAGAAGAAGAAGAAGAAGAAGAAGAAGAAGAAAAATAAAGGAAAAAAAAAAAAAAAAGAAAAAAAGAAAGAAAAAGAAGAAAGACCCAAAACACAGAAAAGCACACCAAATCTATATCACTTGGTGCCTAGGAAACTGAACCCTGCATTCGCGTTCCCAGTTACACTGTGGTGCTCTACCCTGTTCCTTGAGGTGCTGCCTTTGGGGTACCCAGGCTTGTAAAAACTCCAAGTGCTGGAGAGACTAAGATATTTACCATTTGAGGTGAAACTTGGACACTCTTCGTTCAGGAACCCAGACCTTCCTGGACTGGATTGTAGCATGAAGGGAGCAAGAGGGTTAAGAGTCAGAATGGAGGTCACACTGCACTCGTGGTGCACATGCTACTCAGTTGGAAATTAAAGACTGGTCCAGAAGTGGTCTTGGTCTTCCTAATGAAACCTCTCTTAATTGCAAAGACAAGGCAGCAACTTTATCCTTCACCAGCTGCTTAAGGTATCCTCAAAAACTTATACCTGAGATATTTTAAACTTTTCCTCTACATTGCAAACATTTACAAATACACACAAGTATCCACAAAATGGCACACAGGCACACAAGTATGAGCACACATACACTAAAAAAGATCGACCTCCACTTTCCTCAATCATACCTCCCTATTCCCTTTTATTTCAACTGCTTCTCCTTATTGTCATTTCCCACTTTTCTTATTCAAATATATCCCCCTCCTTACTCCTGTTTCACCTTCTCTTAGGCTCTAATATAATTTTCTCTTTATTCCTGATCTTGTCTATTTTGTTTCATTATCTCCTTTCTTCTCTCTCATTCCTTTCAACTCTTTATCATGCTTTATCATCCTATATCCTATAACTTCCTCATGTTTAGTATAACAACAACATCCATTAACTGAAAGAAATGTAACATACTAGTAAAACAATGCCTAGAAGATCCCAATCCTACCAACAACAATTTGGTTCCTCCATTGTAGAAAACACCAGCTTCTTCAGAGTTTGCAGAAAGTTTACTCACTGGATTTGATTATACTGTTAAGTCTGACCTGTTTGTATCTTACTGCACTTTGTAACTGCCTACTACAGTTGTTCTTTCAAGTGAACATCAATTCTAAGAAAAAATAAACCTTGGTTATAAAACTGGCCAGCTGCATTCTATGGCAAGTTGATGAGCTAGAAGCTTGAACCTATAAATGCTATTAATAGCTATTAGCACCAATTCAGCATGTCAGGCATGTTAGCCTTACAGATACTTTGTTCAAACTGCTGGCAGTTAAGAAGCTATTTTGTCAGTATCATATGCACTAGCACACTGGAAAACAAGTAATTGGTTAAATATGCATCTCTCTGATCAAACAAAAAATATATATATAAAAATACAAAGAGAAATACTGCTCCTATCTAAGAAAAAGAAAGCTTTGCAGTATCCTCACTGTTATTGTGTTAGTCCAGCGTACGTACATTCTGACATACCACACGGGCATTTTTGTGCTGGCCAAACATCCACGCTGAATTGTTTGTCTTGTTATCTGCATTTTGTGCTGATGGAGACACACGGTGCTTGTTGGCACTGGGTGCAGGGAGTCTTGATGCAGAATTTCCTGTTACAAAGAATATTTTAAAAGCAGTTATACCAAAATAATAATAATAATAAAAATAAATACATAAATAAATAAAATAACAAAATATAAATAGGTAATGGAGTTATATAAGCCAATGAAACTTCAAAAACACTTAAAGATTAAAATAGCACCGTCAAACTCTAAACAAGCCAACTATAGTAACTACAAACCTGCAACCATTGGAATGCGAGTTCCAGATCCTGTTGACGTGATGGACCCTCTCGACCCTGGGTTGGTCAGGTGGCTTGCAGATCCTGAAGAAGGTAGTGGAATACCTGGGGTGTTAATAGCCGAATTGATAGAGGGTGGTCGGATGCCAGATGAATAACCTGGGGACTGGGTAAAACTGCCTGATGGGTGTTGGACTGGACTGGGCAGAGGACTAGCCGATGAATAGGTAGGGGGCCTAATGCCGCTAGAATAACTTGGAGACTGGAGGCGAGATGTGGAGGACACTTGGCTTGTTCCTCCATACACCAGTGACTTCTTGGTTAGCCCATCTGTTGCATCATGCTTGGGGATGCCAGTTCTTAACCCTGCAGAAGTTGGGCTTGGACTTGGGATGCCTGATCCTAAGCTGCTACTGCTTCTCCCCTGTGAGGCTAAACTTGGAATACCTGATCCATTCATTCCAGCTGTTCTAAGCTGCTGTGGTGTGTTAAGATTTGGTGCAGGTTTTGTGACTCCTTCATGTGAGTTGGCAGGCTTTTTCAACCCAATGGATTCACGTGTCAAGTTACTAGATGTTCTACCCACTGCACCTATTGTCGGAATGCGAGACTCGGCTGTAATTGGTGCTTCATGACCAAGGTTGCTTTGGCTTCTCCCAGTGCTTCCAAGAGTGGGTATTCGTGATTCTCCTGAAGTCTGCTTATCATGGAGTAAGTTGGAGGAACTATGTCCCATGTTATTAAGAGTTGGAATTCTACTTTCTGTCTTACTTTCATTATTAAGACTGCTTGGACTTCTTCCCATGGTACCAAGGGTTGGTATTCTTGACTCAGGTAAGACATGACTCTCACTTGATTTTTCACTGGTTAAGTTACTAGGAGAACGGCCAATGTTGCCTAAAGTGGGTATGCGAGATTCTGTCATCTGAGCAGGACTGTGACTAGCATGAGAGTCAAAGCTTGTTTTATGATTTGCCTTACCAGGTGTAACACCAGGATAACTCTCTGGACTGAGTGCTGGGATTCTTGACTGAGGCTTAGGTGCTGTTCTGGGAGGGGAAGAGCCAGCCTCCATATGTTGAGGGACTCCCATTGCTACCTTATCTGGAGTACCCACACTGGGGTCTTGCAGAGAGTCTAATCCATGTCTGGAGCCTGAAGGAGAGATAACATGTGGTCGATGTGGAGTTGGATGCAAAACCTCACCACGAGGTTGGTCTTGAGTGAAGTTGGTGAGTCCACCACTACTGGTCAGGGATGAACCCACACCACGTTGATAAGAGAGGGAGGATCTGCCACTTGTATCACTAGTCACATAGGATTCTGATGTTGTAGAGTCAGATGCTGATAATGGTATCCTATCACTGGTGACTTGGGTGCCTGCCAGCTTGGATAGAGGTGTTGCTGTTGTGGGTGAAGTGGTAGGAAAAGTGGAAGAAGGAGCACTAGGGGTCACTGGAGTCTTGGGAGGGGGACTGTCCCCATGTTCCAGCAAACTGCTTGTTACCTGAAAAATGAAGCAAATTAGACTGATATAAAAAATAACAATAGACAGCAAGACTGGAAATTTCTACAAGGTTCTACTGACTTTGAGACCTATTTACTGAACTCAGTTCAAATGTCATCATGAAATAACTTTGAAGTAAACAACAAGTACACTACCACTTGAAAGTCTCTATATTTTCCCCTCTCTTCCCTAATCACTGGAGTACCAACTTGACAAGGATTAGTCACCTGGTCAATAATGGAGACAAGACCATTGCTCTCCTGACGAGCACTGGCAGTTCCACTGAAACGTTCCTCTGCTACGGACAATCCGCGTCCAGCTCGCGACAAATCTTGGCTCCTGAACATGGTGGGATCACGTGCTCTTGTTGGACTAGAGACATTCAATCCCATGTGAGACACAGCCCTTGTTGGAGCAGGTGGGATGCCAACAGTATTGATAGGTGCTGCCAAAGAGCCTGGTCGATGATCTCTAGGCAGCCGGTTGAGAAGTGCTGAATCTGCTAGCGTGCCAAGAGCCAAAGACCCAGGCCGCTGCACGGAGCCACTGTTCTGATTCTCCAGCTGCTGCCCTGCCGCAATGGAGGCTGGGCGAGCATTGGTCATAGCAGTATTAGTCTGCA